GGTATTTTGGTTTATTTTTGTTCAAGTCTGGTATTCATTTGGCACGCTGTTCGATATTTTATATTCAACTCCTATTTTCATTTGCACTATATCAAATATCATGGTATAAGTTTTTAACTCAACTCCCATTTTCAATTGGCACGAGTAACCACGTGATTGACAAAGTAGACCTAAATATTTTCACACTGATTCTTTTCAACTTTGATCAAATAATATATTTCAGTTAAGCAATCATTATGATACATGAGCTACATTCTATTGTGTTTATTTGTTGAACTTGTCTTCCCTTGAAGTAGATTAAGCGTCCAGTTGCTATACAGCCTCGTTAGGTCTTAGCATTCATACAATTTCTATTCAATTCTTTTTAACATTTGACACAATGGAAGGTCACGAAATCTTTAAATATCATTGTTATAATGTAGTTGCACAGCCTGCACAAAATAGCAAAGTAATGAAAATTCTCAATTGATGTAGGCTAGTTTATCATGTTAGCATTATCTTTGAAGTAGGAATTTTTAGATTTGAAAATTGCTTTGCTTTGTGATTTGCAGGTCAAGCTCTAATTAACTTTACAGCAGTCATCATTAATTCAGACGGTATTCTGCTACAGTGGAGACCAAAGCATCCTAATCAAGCTGGCTGGAAAGGAATAAAATGTGAACCTAAGACAGAGAGTTACAGTTCTGTGAGTTCCATGAAATTAAGATTCTTTAAATCTTAGGGTCCGTTTGATTGCAAAGATGGAATTGAATTGAATTGAAAACGAATTCAAAGGAATTGAATTGTCTAGAAATTATTTTCCTGAAAATTATAAATTATTGTATTTGATTGGTATAATTTTTCTCGTGAAAAATGTTGACATAAAAGTGTTTTTTTGTGTTCGTTTGACTTTGTTTTACATGAAAATTGCCAATTAAAGGGATAGATTTTACTGGTATTGGGGAAGAAATTTGTTTTCATTGTCAAAAAAAAAAATTCAAAAAAATCATCTATCTTTTGGTGTTCGTTTGACTTTGTTTTACACGAAAATTATCAAGGGAAAATATTTTTTTACAATAATTCTTAAAATTTGTTTTCATTGCACAGAAAAAAAAACCGCTACAATAGCTGGAAATTGGGATTCTCACCATATTGGTGAGAATTCCAATTCAAGGAAAAGGTAGAAAATGGCTTATGTGGCAAGAAATGTGGAAAATGAATTCTAGAAAAAAAAAGGGGGGGCTATCAAACAATGGAAAAGTGGAAGATGGAATTGATTTTCCAAGTTCCATGGAAAATAAATGTCTATCAAACATAGCCTTATTGGAATTCATGGTGTGAAAAGATTTACTTAGTCATTGGACCAAGAGTACTTTTCTGAGTTGTTCCTTTTATTTTTTTCTTGCATTTCACATATAATGGCTTCATTTCTTTTACAACAATAAACATTTGGTTTCGAACAAAAAATTATTTATAATATGAAGAAAAAAAGAAAATTTTTAAAAAAATTAAAAAATACAATAAAAAATTAAAAAAAAAGTTTCAAAAATTAAATAATGAATATTTCTTCTTTTCTCTCCTCTAAAGTTTCTGTACTTCTTATTTCTATTTTAATTTTTTTCAATTTAAAAAAATTCTTTTTATTTCTTTTTGTTTTATGATAAAACTTAATTTTTTCAATTTTAATTAAATAGTATTTATTTTTAATTTTAATTATTTCAATTTAATTTAAAAACTTTATAATAACTTTTTTTTGTTTCTTTTTATTTTTGCCATGTAATTTTTTTTCTATTTTTGTCTGCAATTCTTTTTTTTTCTTTGTTCTCTAATTTGTTAAATCATTTAGTTTGTGACACAAATATTTCTAATTTTCAAAAACTTCAAATACTATTCCTAAATTCTATACATTTCACACTAACAATAACATAATAAATACAATACTCGTGCAATGTAGGAGACGAAGACTAGTGGTTATAAAAGTTTCTATAAATAACTGTGAAATAAAATAAAATAAAATAAAATAAAAGAATTACTCAACAGAAAGTAAATATAAAAGACTCAATTCCATAACCCGTAAGGAATATGAATGAACTATGTAATTTTGTTAACTAAATAATAATTAATTCTGTGCATGTAATGCAGCCCATATTAAACAGGGGCTTAGACACATAAAGCAAAGGAAGTTGCTTTTTGACAAAAACAAATTTCAACTTTAAGTATTAGCTGAAAATCTAAAATTCCAAAAGATGAAGCAGAGACCTAATTGTCAATTTTACATCAGTACTAAATTTTCTGCACACAACTTGAATTACGAAAAGAAATTGTGGCAACCATTCAGAAGCCACAAAAATGAAGCGACAACAAATTTTCTTTTAGAAAGCTACGTGATGATGTGAGGATAGAAGATTTAATTTTATGAAAAAGCCACAGATTAGCCACTCCAATTATTAATCAATTACGTGAGAAATAGTTATCTTTAGTCATCACCTCGAAAGATAAAAAAAAATAGCAACAGTTCGCGTACTGATTAATCATGTCCGCTCTTTGATTTTCAAGAACCCTCAAAAAGCCAATAAGAACAGCACCTAAGGTACATACACCAATACATGGCTCCGTGCACCCCGTACAGCTTGTCAAATAGGCAGGAACCAAGCTATTAAAAATAGCATTACTCTAAAATTATGGAGCTATAGAGAACTTATCCCCATCATATTCACTTCAAAGAAATAACCAGCTCCGTGTCATAAATCTGGGAGATAGTGACAATGAGCTCTCATAAATATAGCCTCTAGTGTGGTAAAATAGATACAAACAGAAAATAGACACAATGAAAGAGCATAGCTTGATCTCAAGCTTCTCGGCAAATTCAAAAGAAGTCAAGTCATAAGAGAAGAACCAATACCCAAGTGCTAAGCTAGAGTTGAGGAAAGACGAAGTGGTCAAGAAAAGCTTAGTCACTTATATAGAAAAATTACCTGCATGCGTTTGCTGGGAGCAGAAAGAGCAGTTCCAGCAACCAATAAAGATCTAATTTCTGAACTAAGTTGCTCCTCCTGCTTTCTTACTTTCTCCCCTACAACCTTTGAATGCATTGACATGTTTCCCTTCACCAATTTACGAGATTCCAATTTTTCATGCATTTCATCAAGCTCATTGGTCCAGCTTAATGTTTGAGTTTCTACCTGTGCACATTAAAAGTAATCATAAAGCATGGAAATTATAAAAGCAAACAATTCCATTAAAGCAATAGTAGAATAGAAGGGAATAAGAGCAGTCTCTTCTATGCATCCTGAAATAAATATTCTTTTCAACTAATAACGAATAAGATCAGAGCAAGTAAATGAAACTAAAACTAAATTGCAAACTCTTTCCTCCAATGACTACAGGGGAAACTTTTTTAAAATACCAGCACCAGTAATTACGGTGACTTCATTTAGATATATCAAACAAATTGCAATCACAACAAAAACCATCAAAATCATTAAGGGGTTGTTTGAGCCCCATTTTTATTAAAAAAATGCATTTTGAGATAGTGTTAGGATAGAAAATGTATGGTTAAAAAACAAGGAAAATTTTTGGGTTTGCATATAATATTATTTTATTGAAAGATGTGTGGTTGAAATGGTGTCAAATCACTGTTGAATAAGATGTGTATTTTGATGGAAAAATGGGGCTCAAACAAGGGCTATCAGCACCAACTTAGGGTTCCCCTGAGTCATGCCAATGCTTGGCATAATTGAGTACAAGTAGCAAGATATAACTAACACCTTATCTTAATTTGGCAGGGGAATTTGAATTAAATAGTTTTGACCATAATTTAATGGAAGAGACTATTCTAGTTATTATAGAAAATCTAAATTCCTTTTTAAGAAGCATATTGCTTGGGTTTGTAGTTTTCACCATAGGAATTTTTGCATATCTATCATATCGAATATTTCAAACATACTTTAAGAAACACCTTTGATTACTTAAATTGGTCTCGTGGTCTATTTAAAACTTTTGAAATCAGTTTTGACCCTTTACCATCTGCAAGTTTATTACAAGCTTCAAACTCCTTAATAGGACGACAAATATTTATCTTGGATTCGCAAAAGTCAATCCAAGTAGATTATATAACACAGAGCCCAATTAAACTAGATCAAAAACCAAATCCTATGTTTTCTCCTATTTACATTTAATAATCAACATACCACTCTTTAGGCATAAAACCACGTGAAAAGAGAATTGTGAGTTCAATTTCGTAAACTATAAAAATGAAATAGTTATGTTAAAGAATGATATCAAATAGAATAATGCTATTTATAACCCTATGTGACATACATGTGGTGGTTAGTGGTTTAATGAATAAGACAATTAAAAAACTACCATATTAATACAGCAAATCACTAACCATAGGCAACTATGACAGTAGTGAGTCTCAAATAGCATTACTCTATCAAATATCAACCATAGGCAATTAATACTAATTGTTGGTTATATAATAGAAAAGAGTGGTAACTGGTTTTCGTTGAGGTTAACCCACAAATATACCTCAGGTCACAACTCAATCATAGCGCACCCAAAAATATATCATTGATAATGGAACAACTATCACGACTAATATAATTTCCAAACACGAAACACACACACAAAATTCTTATTCCCACAAAAAAATAAATAAATAAATTCCATCCAAATCATAAACAGAAGAATAATATAACAGATTTACTAGGATTTCCCAATCATAAAATTTTAAACGACAGGAGAAAAAGATTTGGGATGAAGTGCGTACTTTTATAAGGAAATTGAGTTTCTGTTCAAGATTATTTTTCTTGCGCTTCGCTTCTTCAAGTGCGGATGTCAAACTACAGAGTCGCGCCAGCTCTTGCTCGTAATCCTCCCATTCTATTACTTTCGGTTTTTGATCTTCTTGTCCCTTCTGCTTCTCTTCTTGCACCTTCACAGCAGGCTTCTTCGATTCCATTCACAAGTTACAATCCAAGAATCATCAACAATATTTAATTTCAACAATAAAAAATGATCGTCATTGAAGGCCCACCAGTTCTTCACCATCGTAGTACAGATTCCCGGGGGTGGGGGTTAGGGTTCTGTTGGTGTTAAGTTCAACCTCATTATACGAAGTAAAAAATTGGGAAATTTTGAATCTTTGATTTTCACGGATGCTGTAAACAACTTGCCGTCGAAATTGATCACTTCTCGCAGACAGACTTCTCTCTCGTTTCTCTCTCGTTTTTAAGTATTGCGTTTTTTCACATTTAGAGGAAAGCGCTGTTATATAAAAACGCTTTCTTTGTGTGAACTAGTTAAAAGTCCCAAATCATAAGTGCTCCTAAAAAATCTGTGTTCCTTTCCTTCATTTTGAGGTAAATTATATCATTCTTCTTCAATTTTTCTAATATTAAATTTTATGGAATTGTAGGCAATTTCATTTGTCTAGGGTTTATTTTTTGCATTTTGATTTTCCTTTCCCCTGCCTCGATGAATTGGATTCTCTTTGGTGTATATGATTAATGATATGAGCTTTCTTTGTGGAGTAGTTAAGGATATTAGATGAAACAAAGGCTTTAATGAAGCAGAAGAGATGAGTTGACAAAGAAGATAATTTGAATTGTTGGAAAATCTAGTGAATCAAATAATTTTAAGATAACTAAGAAAAAAAGTATAATGGAAGTTTCATTACTAAGAAAATAGGAATAAAGGTACTTGATTACAGTAGCAATTCTCGTGGATTGCAACAAAATGCCTTGTAAACATAACCAAACGATTAGGCTATCTTTGATATTTTTTTGTGTTGACACCTAGATTCTTGACTTAAAAGGTAAATTTCCTTTGTCTTCTACATCGAAAGCACGATTATGAAACTCGTTAAGTAATCAGTTTACAAGTTGACCTGAGTTTGGATCTCTTTCAGATGGTAGGCCAATCAAATATTAAGAATGAGCTTCTTTCTCGTTTTATTTTCCCCAAAGAAATTAGAAGCTTTGATGTAATTCTTGGATGCTCTGGGTTCACGTTGGAATATAAGCTTATTCTTCCACTAAAGGGGACGGTTACAATCTCCTAGCTTGTCTTCATTATTAGTATCATGTTCGTGCATATATTAATGACGCCATTTTGCTGCTATTATTTCTTAATCGACCAAATTCAATGTTTCTATAGGGTGAAGCTGATGCAAATGTGTTAGTAGGTATTCAAGTGGCTCACTCTGAGAGGGACGAGTTCCGTTCTCATGCTAATAGTCTTGGATGAATAGAAAGCACCAATGAAGCATTCAAACTTTTAATGCGACGAAAGCTGTTTCTTTGTTATATAAGGTCGATTAATTTATCCTCAATTTGGTTAGATTTATAATTATCCAAGCTAATTTGCTAAAAGAATGTATAATTCACAGTATCTGTGTGGGGTAGATAAGAGAGGCGTCACTTTTTGTTCTCTACCCTTCTTTAGTCTTGTATTGATTATGCACATCGAACCCTCATTACTTGTCAACAATATTCATCCCTAACCTCAAAATTTGCTCTTTTTTTTTTTTTTTATATTTTCTTTAATTACGTCGTTTTTTAGCGGTGCAATTATGTTCATCAACATTTGTTCCAACAGCTAACTATGATATCAATTTATTGAATCTGATCTGTCACAATGATTGCCAACATTCATCCCTTATTTTTAATCCAGCTCTCTCAATGGTCTTGCAATGTCATTAGTCTTTTGGTGTAGTTATTGAATTTAATATTTCGTACCATGGTCTCAAAAGAAATGTAGAACAAGTCACGCGTGTAAATGAAACATATGCATTTTTACTTAAATTTTTCGTTTAATAACGGGGGAACCCGCGCACTGGGTAAACCCTCGGTTGACGCAATAGTCTGCAAACTACGCCAGTCAGGTATACTGTACTAGGCAAGCCTGGTGCGACGGGCTCGATCGAAAAGTATCGATAAGGGGAATCGAACTCATGATAAAAGGTCTCCGCGCTCACCTACTCATCAACTCGGCCACCCCATAAAGGGCTTATGTGTAAGAAACCTTGCTTGGCCTGTGGATGAGTTTAGCTAAGAAAATAGGAATAAATGTACAATTAGTTTTTACTTCAAGAGAGGAAGATAAGAAAAGTATGATTTAAAATTTCTTGCATGATACCCAATTTACTTTAAAATTTGTGTTTGGTGAATGTTGGATTATTTTTTTCAGGTTGGTTTATTTAATATTACAAGGGAAATGATGTCGATTTTTTTCCCAAAATATTGATAGTTGACTCTAGTTGTTATAGAAAGACTCCAGTCTTTTTAAACGACTGCAATTGTTTTAAACGACTCCAATCATTTTATTTTAAAAAGGACTATAGTCTTTTAAACGGCTAGAATTATTTTCCTTAAACAATTTTAAATGTCTAGAGTTGTTTTCCTTAAATGACTTATGTCGTTTAAAAAGACTGGAGTCATTCCGAAAGACTTGTCTTTTTCTATGAATTTGCGATTAAATTTGGTATCTATTTCTTCAACATTTAATGTATTTCGTTTAAATATGTATATGAAGACGAATTTAGTTATTTACAATTTATCTTGCTCCACTACACGTTGTTCAAGTATATCATAATTGGTTTTAAGTATACGACTTACAGTTGATTGTGATAAATTTAGCCATCATGTATAATAAAAGAGGAGATGTCAATCAAAATTTTGACCTTTTATACCGTGTTTGACTACAATCTATTTCATTTATAAACATATAGAATTACGAACTTCGTTATATACAATTCATCGTGCTTTACTATACGATGTTCAAGTATAGATTTAGTTTTTAAGTATACAACTAACAATTAATTCATCAAGCTAGATCAACATGTATAATGAAAAATGAAATGTCAATTAAACTTCTAACATTTGTTTATCATTCTTGATTTCAACCTATTTTGTTTAAAAACATATAGGAGGACGAACTTCGTTATATACAATTTAGCATGTTTTACGACTTGCAATTGATTGCAATAAGTTAAATTATCATGTATAATAAAAGCCAAATATCAATCAAACTTCTAACATTTTAGACCTTGTATGATTTCAGTCTATTTCATTTAGAAACGTCTAGGATGATGAACTTCGTCATATATAACTCATTGTGCTTCACAATACATATGTTCAAGTATATTGTATTCGATTTTTAAGTATTTGACTTACAATTAATTTCATTAAGTTAAACCATCATATATGATGAAAATTGAGATGTCAATTAAACTTCTAGCATTTTAGATCATGCTTGATTTCAACCCATTTCATTTATAAAAGTATAGAAAAACAAACTTCATTATATATAATTCATCGTGCTTTACTACACGTTGTTTAAGTATACAACATTCGATGTTTAATACATGAACTTACAATTGATTTTGATACGTTAAACCATCATGTATAATGTAAGACGGATGACAATCAAGCTTCTAATATTTTAGACCATATTTGATTTCAACCTATTTCGTTTAAAAATATATAGGAAGACTAATTTCGTTATATACAAGTCATAATGCTTTACTATACGACGTTTAAGTTTATCACGTTCGATTTGTAAGTATACAACTTACAATTGATTTCGATAAATTAAATCATCATTTATTATAAAAGACAAGATGCTAATTAAACTTTAACCATTTAAACAATTTTTATTTCAACCTATTTCGTTTAAAATCAGATAAGAAGATGAACTTAATAATTATGCTCCATTACAGAATGTCCAAGTAGAACATATTCGATTTCTAAGTAAATGATTTACAATTAATTCAATAAATTAAACCATCATGTAAAATGAAAGACAAGATAACAATCAAACTTCTAACCTTTTAGATCCTGTTTGATTTTAACTTATTTTGTTTGAAAATTTATAGGAAGACGAACTTTGTTATGTACTATTCATCGTGTTCCATTATATACTTTTCAAGAATACCGTATTCAATTTTTAATTTTATAACTTACAATTGATTTTAGATAATTTAAATCATCATGTATGATAAAAGACAAGATGTCAACTAAATTTGAGAGTGATAAATAGAAAATGACTATGATTGTTTAGTCAAATTTTCATAAAATAACTGCAATAATTTAAAATGATCAGAGTCATTTTTCTTTTAAAAATAGGCTTTGCAAATCGCGAGCAGGAGCCTTTAAGAAATGAAAAATGACTCTAGTCGTTTAAAACGACTAGCATCTTTTTCTAAGAAAAGTCGTTTTCCATTTATTACTTTTTCGTGAAAGTTTGAAGAAATGGTATTATGGTCATTTTATGTTAAGGGCATTTGAGATATATCAACAATATAGAAAGGATAGTTTAGACATTTTAATTTAAAAGAAGCCTTAAAAACTTATTTGGAGTAGGTTAGGCTAAAAAAGTTTTGGATGGCTTGACTAGGACTTTTTTAAAAGTTCCCCAGATGTCACCAACCTTTGACACTTATTGCACTTTTATCCCCAGCCTTTAAAATATAAGATTTACATCCTCAACCTTTCATTTTGATAGCATTTTCATCCTTGTTGGATGGTCAAACTAGTTAAAATTTCTTCAACGGAATGTTTTGCCCTTTATACAGAAACTAAATAGGAAAAACAAGATAGAAAAAATGAAAATTGGGTGGCCATCACCATTCACACTTTGTTGAGAGTATTTTGGAGTCGATTCGGAGAAGATTTTACCAAATTAGAAATTCTCTGAGTGAAATCAAACTTTTAGGTTAAAGGACAATTTACATGTAGCAAAATGGTTGGATTTGTCCCCTTAAGATGCATCCGTAAAATGGTGGTTGTTTAAGCAAATCAATGTTGAAATCTATGTGCTCATTTTTTATGTTTTAATTGGATCGAATTGCTCATTGGAGTTTAATTGGCTTTGACACCATATTACAACTAGGAGTTCCATCTTAAATTGTCAACTTTATTAAGAGGAATAGTACATGTCCTTATATATTGGTTTGCATTTTTATTTTTATTCAGTGTGAAATTTATCCCTTAACACACACTTTGTAAAAATTTTATTGTCTCAAATCATTCTCGACACATCATGCAATCAGAATGAGTTAGGCCATAATTATTTCTTACCATTCGGTATAAGAGAAACAGTGTCTCTACTTGTACAAAAGCAGTGTTGCCAGAATTAATACAGGTGCTGCTGTGACAGCGTCTATTTGGTCAGCCTATTTTTTTGGCCATTGTCCAACAGAAAATCGACAAGTGTTATCTGTATTAATTCTGGTAAATCTCTAAGAGAAATAATTGAAACCGAATGCTCTGCAGAGCTTGAGCTTAAGACCACCACCCGCTTTGTTTCTGGTCAATTGTCTCTTTGAGAAGGAATCTAAGTTGCATAATCAAGAAATTCGCAATTTCAAATGCTAGGGTGGAAGTTGAAAACTTGATGAAAAGAATGATTTCTGTTTGTGGAAGATGAAAATGGTCTGGGAAATCTTGGTCTGGATGAGGCTTTGAAGGGTGAGGCTGGTTTGCCAATTGAGCTGACAGTGACTGAGAAGGCAGATATCATGTAATGAAGAAAGCCAAGAACACCATAATCTTGAGCTTAGAGGATCAAATGCCATATTAGATGTTAAAGATCAGTACTGCCTCAGAAATATGAGATAGATTGGACGGACTTTACATGGTTGAGTCTCTCTGCCTGATAGAATTTAATTAAAGCAAAAGTTCTTCGGTTTTTGGATGGTGGAGGGAAAGATTTTAGATGATAATGTAGATTCTTTCACAAAATTGGTGCAGGATACGGAGTGCATCTAAGTGGAAATTGAGTAGAGAGATCAGACTGTACAGCAGGGACACTTGATTTGTAGGGTGCGATTGGAGAAATTCATGCCCAAGAAATAGATTTGAAAGAAGAGGGGAAAGAAATTTTATCAGGAGAAGGGCTAATGCCAAGAGGTAGACCATGGAAGAAAAACTGAAAATCTTCTGGAGGAATTTCTGGATCGAAATCAAGAGGGAAGCAATAGAAGAAGTGCTACACATGCCTTATGGAAGAGCACTTAAGAGAGATTGCCCAAAACCAAGAACAAAGGTCAAGAGGTTGAAAAGGGAAATGAGGACAACATTGCGAATTATATGTGAAGGATGTCTTGGTTGCATCAGAAAGACTCGTGAACCAAGTTTACATTCATACAGATGAATCAGCAAAAACAAATCTTGATACATGTAAAAGAAACAAAGAAGAGCCACGGGACCTCCAGCAAGGTATGGATATGCTGATCTGGTCCAATATTTTTTAACATTAATAAGTGATCTGAAAGAACCAGAACCAACTAGCTATAAACGTGCTGTGAACTATGAAAATTCTTGTAAGTGAATTCACCTATGAAGAACTATACTTTGGAATTTGGTTTGATAGATCCAGGATCTAAAAGTAGTAGGTTTTAGGTGGTTATTCTAGGTGAAAGAAAGGACACCAGGTCATGAAAACCCCAGTTACAAGGCTAGGCTTGTGATAAGGGAAAGGGAATTCACCCAAGTAGGAGTGGATTATTTTAGAATTTATTCACCTGACTTCTTGTTGTCAAATGGACATGGAATTTGGAGCAAATGGATGTCACTACTGCTTTTCCCCATGGTAAACTAAAAGAAGAGATCTTCACGGAGCAACCACCATGGTACATTACGGCAGAAGATGAAGGTAAGGTGTGCCTCTTAAAAAGTCCATTTCACAGACTAAAACAGTCACACGTGCAATGGTTCCACCGTTTCATGATGAAAGTTGAGTTTAAAAGGAGCATCCGCTATTCGTGTCATGTACTATAATAGCCTATCCGCAAAATGTGCATCTACTTATTGCTGTATGTAGACAATATGCTAATTGCAAGCCAATGTTGAATAGAAATTTCAAAACTAAAGGTTCAACTGAAATGTAATTTTGAAATGAAAGGTCCGGGGCAATCCAAGGAAATCTTGTGGAAGGAGATAAAGTGGGTAAACTTGAAGAGGATGACGGTATCTCAATGGAGCTATTTTCACAAAGCCAAGAAAATTGAGTTTAAAAGGATCAATGCTTGAGGCACTTTTCATTCACCAGTGGACCTTTTTCTTCGTACTGTGGCAGATGTGCTGATATTGAATTCAGAAACCAAGAGAGGATAGAAAGCTGACAGTTCCCTCCGTGGATCCGTCCGAGTCAAGTCCAATGAGCGCATCTGAAACTTGTTGCTCAAAAATCAGAAAATTTATTGATTCAAATGTGTTGATATCCAGGTGTACAACATACTGTAGGCAACTTTCAATCCTGTTTTCCTGGTCTTTTGTGGTTCGATGACCCGAAAGAAAATGATTATACAGCTACTTATTACAGATATTGAAATTCAATTTCACGAACTATGCCCGTTTCTTATATGTACTATGCCTGCATTTCAATTAAGAATTTGACGCCACACATTGAAATTCCAAATAATTGCAAAAATTTGCTTCTGAAGCCAAAAACAATTAATTGTTGGGGTTCAAAGTAAAAACACTAAAAAATATTATGCGAACAACATAATTCTTATTTCACAGGGTTTAAACAACTTCACAAGAAAATCAGACAATTGATCCTACAACTAAATTCATCAAAGCATGAATATTCGAATCACCACTAAACAACATTATATCCAAATCATGTCAGTCGATTCGATGTCGTCGAAGGAAATCATTCTGAGAAGGCAATTTGAAAAATCTTCATCCAACTTATCTGACGACGCACCGTGGCAACTCATACTAGCTCCAAAGTTCAGCTCCTTATCGTCTAAATCTTTATCTATGCGGGCCCTTTTTTCAGCTGGGCGTTCAAAACTTGAATTTCGTTTTTGAGATTCATGAATGTCTTCTACTGTTCCAAAACCAGATTGAACAACAAGATCAGTCTCTTCTTGATCCCAAGAAATTCGACAAATGGCATAATCCGTGTTATTCACTCCCTCCAAAGAACTTCCTGCCAGTGTATATTCATGCATTATCCAACGACCCTTCTTCATATTTGTCTCGTCTTGCTTCAAATCGCCATTTAATTTGAACGTAAACGACTTCTTGACGCCAATGACTTCGCCCTTGCAATTCTTGATATCCTTCGGCACAGATTTTCCGCCCCATGTTCCACAACCGGCCACCCTAACAATATGTCTTCTACCTATCTTTTCCAACTTCGTAAACACGTAAATTTCCTTCTTCAAAACACCAACTTCAGACTCGCCAACGATTTCCCATGGATCATTGTCAGAAAAGACAATCCATGGGGTACCATTCTTTCCATGTAGATTTCGTTCAAGAATTCTATTATATGGCAATGGGAATCCCATTGCTTTGGGTTTTAAGTAAAGTGTGATCAGTTTTTGATCGGTGGGTTTAAAAACGAAACTTGGTGGTATTGAGAATGCCATAGCCGAGCGTGTAAGAAGAGTTGAGCAAACTGGAAATTCTCAGAAGGGATTCGAACTCTATACGTGAGAGAGTACGTATTTCTCTGGAATCACAAACAACAATTTGCAAAGTGAAGAAGAAAAAGTTTTCTTTGAGACGAGCACATGATTTCTTCAACAAATACCTCTATTTATAGCTGAAATAATCACCTTCTCATATTGCTATTGTTTTTGGTCTATGATTCTGTTTTTTGGTAACTTTTGAAAGATAGGAAGTCTCAAATGTGAAGGGACTGTGTCTGTGAGTGTGGTGTATTTATTATTACTTCAACTTTTACAAATTATTTCTTCAACGGGCTCAAATAATTTTTTAACAAATATTTTCTGTTTTCAAAAGTTAATTATTTTACGAAAGGATGACACGTAGTCAAACTTCTAGAAGATGAACCATATTACAAGCGTGAAAAAAAAATAATAATCAGGAGAAGAAGATGAAGAAGAAGGCAATTTGGAGTTTAATTAAAGTTGAATTGGAGTACTTAAAGATTAATCGAATTGCAAGTGATCCATTGGAAGTATTAATGGAGCATTTGTTAAAACTTCATAAATTTTGGAGTTAAATTCGATATCTGAAAAGTTCGGGAATTAAATTGCAAACTCTCGAAACTTGCATCGGGTAATTATTAATAATTTTGGAATGAAGAAGACTTAATTACAATTACTAGAAAATGAAAGGCTAAAGTTACATGGAAACACGAGTCAAGTTGATGGAAATAAATGTCTATTTTGCTTTATTTTTATATTTGTATACAATCTTTGCTCGTTACAAAGGTTGTTATTTGAATTATGTAATTAGTAATTTTTTTAATTATAAATTGAGTTAATCGTTTAAGAATTGCATGCTAAAACACATTTATATATGTCAAGTTGAAGAATTTACGCTCATTATCAACGCAAACTGAAGAAGGATGTCGCTGGTGCAACTCTTATATAGTAAAAAAAAAAAGGAAATAAAGATAGGGGGCTCGGGTTCGTCATATGAATCTATCTCCCCTTCCTTCCTGGCCCTTTTGCTTATTATGAGTTCGCTTCCTACAAGCTCTTTCGATAATTGTTAAAGTTGTTGATTAGAGTGGTAATGGTGTTCGAAGAATGTATCAATCTGAGTCAAGATGAATAACATATAATCAAAGCCCTGTAACCAGGTAGATTTCTTGGAACATGCTCGAGTTCAAATTGCGTAGGGTTATCAATGGGGGTATAGGATATGTACAATATAATAATCACATGGTCTTGCATATTGAGACGTGCACATGAAGGCCCACATTGTTAGTACAAAAGATTAATCGCATTACTTTTAAACCAAGTTGAGATCAAGCCCACATTGGGAACAGAAATTAAATAAAAAAAAATTATGTCCTTGTTTTATTCATCTAAAAAAAATTATTTTAATTTAGATTATTACTAATAATTAATTTTAATCAAACATTTTATGGGATCTACAATTTTTCATACATTCCATCAACTTTTTATCATAATGTAATACAGAACAAATTTTTTGATAAACCAAATGTAATTAAATTCATTTTTATATTCTCCATTTTTTCAGTTAATTCTTCTAACTGTTTTTTATATTCTTCATACTCTTCACCTGTAGATTCTAAGAATTTTTGTTCTATCTCTTCTACATCAGTTATCATATATTGTTTTTCTTCATGCTTTTTTCCTTTATTTTTTGTTATTCTAAAATCTTGGGGTGGATTAATTATAATCCTATCTTTTCCTCTAAGATTATTATCTAATAATGCATTTCCTACTTGTAGATTATATTCTAGATTTTCTAGTCTTTTATGTATATCCTCAAAACTTTCATTCGTAGTGTTTTTAGGTAAATAGGGATAACTAGGTTTTTTATGTTTTTTAACCTTTTCCAAAAATTCTTCAATTATATTTTCTTCATCTACTATATTCATCATAATTTTTGGTTCGTAACATGGCTCTGATACCATTTCGTCGGAGTGTGCAGCGGAGGGGTTAATATCTTTGAGCCAATTAGATTCTTCATAAGTATTTAAAATGTCACAATAGAATTTATAAAATTCACTATTTTTTATTAATAATTTTTCTTGAATAATTATGTTTAATTTTTCAATTCTCCTTCTTAAATTAAGAATTAATTTATATATGTCTTTTTCCATTTTGATTGCTTCGCTATCTATGGAATCATTTTTATTTTTTATTTTTGGGTCCAAATATTCTATAAAGAAGTCTTTCAGATCTTCTTCTAGGTAGATTAATTCATTTTCTGTATAGATTTTTAGATCAATAAAATTTTGTATAATATTTGGATCTAGATTTATTAAAAATTTATGATCTATATTTTCTTGAGGACTTATTTGAAGATTTTTAGACATTGTAATGGCTTTGGTTGCAATTTCTTTATCAAGGGTATTTTTGGAAAATTAGTTGTTTAGAGACTAGTTTTCAAATGTTTTTATTTCTTAGGCTAATTTGGAAAATCAACCTTCTATTTAGGCTGTAGAGCTATATTTCCTCAAAAAGAAGCGCTAAGTTGGAAATCCGAGAGGTGAAGATTATATGTTAATCATAAATTAGTTATATAATAATTTTCCTAACCCAAATGGGATTGCAGTATTGCTTTTCCATGCTAATTAGTAGCTGATCTCACGAAAATATTACAAGTTTTATAGATGCCTTTTTATCCAATAGGTGATCCATCTGAGTCCTGCATTCAAGTCAGTTTATTTCAGATGTGCAAAAGTAATTTTTAATACTGATGCAAAAATTTGATAATAAAAGAGGAAGATTTTCAACAGCATATGGTGATAAAAGTTCCTATAAATAACTGGGAAATATAAAAAAAAAAAATAGAAATTTATCAACAAAATAAGTAGTAAATACAGTAATGCCATCACTAAATACAGTAATTCAATCACTTCCAGCAAGCACTGCCCCAGCTAGCAGCCTTACACTTTCTATAGTACACTCTCAACCACGCGTAATCAAGAAAAATCATTCCAATTCCATAACCCATATGCATGAGGATTATGAATGGACTGTGCAGTTTTGTTAACTAAATAATAGTTAATTCTGTGCATGCAATGTAGCCCATATTAAATAGGGTCTTAAACACATAAAGCAAAGGAAGTTGCTTTTTGACAAAAACAAAGTTGAACACTAAGTATTAGCAGAGACCTAATTGTCAATTTTCTGCACACAACTTGAATTACGAAAAGAAATTGTGGCAACCATTCATAAGCCACAAAAATGAAGTGACAACAAATTTTCTTTTAGAAGGCTACGTGATGATATGAGGCATAATTAGCCACTCCAATTATTAATCGATTACGTGAGAAATAGTTATCTTTAGTCATCTTCTCGAAAGATCAAAAAAATATCGGCAGTTCACGTACTGATTAATCGTGTAATTATATTAGCCACTCCAAATTTCTTGCGTAATTATTGATAAATTATTGCACAAAAATCTAGAATTATTTTCCAATTATGTTGCCATCTCTTCCTCTTCGTTTGCGTTCTTCATACATATTTTAGCGAGTGATATAGTAAACTTTTGAGTTATCGTTCCTACAAGAATTTTTTTTTTTCTTTTACACATAATTTTATATTTCTAACTCCTATTGTTGAAAACAAAGGATTATGATTGTTTGGATTGTTTTCGTAACTATATATATTAAATGAAAGTATCAAAATTGCACATAGAGATCGAATTGATGTTTCAAATATGGAATGAATATTAGTGCAGGACAATTTCATTTATTGATCACATTTAAGTCCTAATTCAAGATTTACAAATCTAATGTAGAGTTCGATCGAATTCCTCTATTGTATTTAATTGACCCTTATTTAGTTCTCATTGACCTTATTTAACTAATTCAATCACATATCTCTATATGAATCAATCTTAGTTAAATACACTATTTGTTCTTAGAATTTATATAACGACCGCAATAATTAGCAAATGTGTCTCTTCATATTATACAAAATTGTCGAATTTTATTATGTGATCTAAATCTAAAACGCACTTCTCGAATCGTAAAAGATTCACAAAATCATTGAATTGTTGATCAAAGTAACTCAAAACATTATATACATGAATAAAATTTTTAAAGAACTAGAATCTTGAATAAACAAAATAAAGGATCTTGAATAGATTACATTATTAGCCCGAATAAAGAGTTTAGATATTCATAATAATAGAAGGGGGGAAAATTGTATTGAACACATCATCGGGTTTTGAATTTAGATGTAAAAAAGTGGATGAATCTTGCACCAAGTTCTTTTGTTATTCCAAATATTGATTTTAAATCCTTGATTTCTTGTTTTTCTCCTTTAATTTTGCTATCTAATTCTCCAAGTTGTGATTTTTGTTTCTCAATGTGGGTAGGGATGGCAATTTGAACCGTCAAAATCGAAAATCGCGGTTAACCGAACCGAATGGGATAAAAAAATCGAACTGATGGTGCAACGGGGCGGATATGGTTTTTATTTTAATGAATCGATTCGTGGCGGTGTGGGTGTGGTATTTACGGCGTCGAACCGAAACCGAACCAATTACCCGCTAAAAAAAAAGAAAAAAAAACACGCTACTAAATTGATTATTAGCCCATAATAATAGCATTAGTATGACAGTATATAAATGCAAACCCTACTCTCCACAAACCATAAACTCACGCACAGCTTCTTTTACTGTTAATTTTTTTCTATTGTGTGTAGAAAATTCTACTTCTTCATCATACTCTAGAGTTTATGCAACGTTTAGCAAGAAGGAAGCTGATGAAAAAGTACTTTTTTTTAATTTAAATCTTAGTTAAGATCATTCTGGAATAGTTAGTATCGTTGTATTCTCTACTTACATTTCTTATTTACTATATAGGAATCAACTTTGTGTGCTGATCTATGTTAGTAAGACTTGTAGGGAAGAATGAATCAAGTAACTTCAATGCACAACAATTAAGAACGAAGAAAAAGTTTAGTATTGCTATATTTATAATATTGTTTGTTAAATTTGTATTTTGCAATTGAAAATTGGGATAATGTTTGTATTTTCGTTTGGAATATTGTATTTTTGTTTTCATTAACTTTTTTCATAAATTGTTTTATATCAATTTGACAGATGAACCTATAAAAAATAATTTATTTTCGTGGTTATTAACCGAACCGGACCGTGTCGAACCGAAATACGAACCTAACCAACCCATAACCGAACCGTTACCAACCCTAAATGTGGGGAACCTTTCAAAAGTGCCTCTATTATTGTATTTATACTTTGCTTAACGTTTTCCCAAATTTGAAGATGTTATGGAATTTAAACGAGCCAAAAATCTTGCCCCAGATGTATCAGGCCATGCTACATGGCGCCATGGCACTACGAAGACATTGTGGATGGCTCCTCTGAGGAAAAATTCAGTACCATATCTCCTTTAATATTTTTATCATAATTTTCTCTCTCGATATCCGATCGAGACAATTCAAATTGGATTATAAAGATAATTCAAAGGGCTATAATCATATTAGCAGTAGCTCTTTTCCACTTTAAACATTTACTAGACAAAAAATGAGTCCAGATATCTAGATAAAAATCGTGAACATTCTTGTATGGCTAAAAATTAATTTGTAAAAATATTTTGATCATATTTCACTCATTTTATTTTCTAATTGCATCCAATCTTCAATACAACGTGAAAATTCTTTAAGTCAAAATTCGTTAATTAGACTATCAAGTACTCAAGTTTTAGCTTGAATTATCTGGCCTTTTGGTCAATGAAGTAATATCAATTCATTTACAGGTTCTTTCAGGCGTGACATTTCTAGCATGAATATACCAAATTGATATCAACGAATAATCTTCAATGTGGAATAGAGATTTTATATATATATATATATATAGTTTTTTATTTTTTATTTTTTTTGGATATTGTTTTTTTAAATGTTTCTTTGAATATTGATGTTAATTTGCATTATTTGCTTTGAATTTTTAAATTTTGAATTTGTATTTTATAATTTAATAGTATAACTCGAAATTTTGAAAATATGTAAAAAAAAATAAAAAAATTAAATGGGCCAGTAAATGGGGCAAAAAACTGCCCCAATCCCGTCCCGTTTAAGGCGGGGCATGGGGTGGGGCAACCACCCCGAACCCGCCCCGTTGCCATCACTAATTGTGGAATTCTTATAACTACTTTCTTCTTTCATCAATTTAATAGAACATTTTTTTACAGTGTTTATTAACTCTACAACTCAAGAACTTGTCATTTCATACTCATCTAATAACTTGGATGAGTTTTTTTGACACATATAAATCTATAAATGAAAAAAAAAAATAATAATAATAATAATAATAATAAAATCCCCAACCCCAGTTTCCTACATCTGGTCATCAGCCATACTGTAAACTCAGAAAAAGAAAATCAAAATTGGATGATTCTTATCAACCATGATTTGAATTATCCAACAAATGGACCAAGATTTATGCCAAGGTGCTTCTTAAAAAATTGGCACGTCTATAAGAAATTAGAATACAATCAGTCCATTTACAAAAACTAACAATCAATTCTAACATTTCAAAAGGTGCTTCTTAAAAAATTGGCACCTCTATAAGAAATTAGAATACAATCAGTCCATTTACAAAAACTAACAATCAATTCTAACATTTCAAACTTACATCTCTATATATTCTGAAGAAAGGATGGTCCTCAAAAGCTCCTTCAAATTAGCAAGAACATAGCATGGCCCTAAGCTCTTCACTCCAATAAAATTCAGGAGCTGCTCTAAATCCTACAAAAAGGTCATCGATTAACATAGAAAAGGTCATCGATATGGCACAAAAATAGCAATGTAATTTGTGATGAAGTCGATTGCAGATTGTCTGCAGAGATCAAAATTGGATATGAATAAATCCAATGTCATCTATAATAGGTTAGTCATAAAATTTCGCATTTAATAAAAATCATGTTCGTGGATTGAAGAAGATAAATGTTGGTATAATATTCATCATCTACTCCAGAGATCCTCTCAATAATCAAATGCAGTTACAAAAAGTAGATACTATTATTATTTTAACAAATTATTTTTGTAACTACAGTCCAGTAAAATCTTCTACTTAATTTAAGTAAGAATATCCGCTAAAGGATAGGTACAGAAAAATTCAGAAGCTGAGTAATGAGCTCACACCACCATCTAGATCTACACATCAGTAAAGGAATCAACACTCATGAGCAAAAGCACAAAAATGGGGACCGGTACAAATTTAACAAGAAAAATTTATATGCCAAACTCTAAGCCTTGTATAACAGAAAATTTATGTAAGATCATTAGTAGACTGTCTTATAATACTCCAAAAATTATGAATATGTTTCAATATGGTTTGACACTAAAAAATTAAGAAGTGCTACATACCTTATTTAACAAGAACACAGCATAGGCTGCTCTTGTGAAGTCTTGCCCTTCTATAAAGAGAGGGAATTCGACCAGCTTCAAACTTGTCAAACTTACTGAATAAGAGTCTGAACTGGACATTGAATGATCAATTGCAGGTGCATAATCACGTATATATGATCGAGAACCTCCTAGCCGTAAAGGGTAACGCAAAGGAACTTGTAAATAAGAAGCAATGAGTGAAACAGCCTACATAAATAACAAGCCATCATGATTAATAGACATTAAATTGCAATTAGTGCTCCGGCAATTAGCTAATGCCTACAGCAATGCAATAATCCAATAAAGATCATTGAAATCCAAAACAGGTGTAAACTAAGTGCCAAGTTGATGACAAAAGTGATAATGTATAACAACTCCCCATTTATTTACGATGTCCTATCACAATTCATCGAACTAAAGCAGATTACACTTGAAAAGATACATGAGTTGATAAAATTATGCCAGGCAAAGAGGAATAAAGCACATGTGCTATATCCCAAGGCAATCGAAGATCTCTTAACCTCCTTCTAATGCCCTTGTTTGAGCCCCATTTTTTGGAGTAGAATGAATTTTTGAATAGTGTATTAATGGGAAATGTGTGATTAAAAAATAAGGAAAATTTTTGGATTTACGTGTAATATTATTTTATTGAAGAATGTGTAGTTGAAATGATATCAAAACACTGTTGAAATACCCTTACACAGGGAAATCGACCAGTGACTAACTATGTTACTCAATTTGATGAATTTCGAATGCGATGTCATGTTGTTGAGGATGAGACAATGACTTTGAGTAGGTTTAGACAGGACCTAAAAGATGATCTTAGGCGTGAGCTTATACTCCGAGGTGTCACTATCCTTGATCATGCTTATTCTTTAGTCCAAAATTAGGAGTTGGTCACTAAGACTCCATATGGAAGGCGTGTTGACTATAGTCCTTCCGTTTCATCCGTCCCACCTCTGCCTGTTAAGTCCCTCCTAGGGCTTCCCCCATCTAATGTCCCCCCTTGTGTTGGAAAATAAGGATAAAGCTCCCGAAATTCCAAAAACTTCTTCCCGCCTACAGTGCTTCAATTGTAAAGGCTTTGGTCATATCGTATCTAGATGTCCTAGTCGAGCTTTAGTCATTGAGGAACGAAAAGATGTAGAAGGTGAGTCATTAGAAGATCAAATCTATGAACCTAAGTTTGAAGAGTTTAACAATTTGGATGATATTGATGATACCTTGTTAGGTTCATTCGAACCTTCCCTATAGATCTAGATTTTGTGACCTCTGTCCCCGACTCCTCGTGGCTAAGTGTTGTACGTTGTACCTTTACTCACCCTAAAGATGCTGATGACTGGCATTGTCATGCCATTTTTCATACTTATATAAAGATCAATAACAAGGGTTGTAAAATCATTGTGGATAGTGGTAGATGCATTAATGTAGTTTCTGTGGCTACGGTGTTCCGTCTTGGATTACAGCCAGTCCCACACCCTCAACCTTATAGCGTCTCTTGGATTAACACTTCTTCTATTGCCGTAAACGAGCGTTGTTTGGTTTCTATCCAATTTCTTGAATACAAAGATCATATATGGTGCGACGTCATTCCCATAGACGTCGGACACGTCATTCTTGGTCGACCCTGGTTGTTCGATTTAGATGTCATTATCTATGGTCGATCAAATTCGTGTTCCTTTGTGTTCAATGGGAAGAAGATTCACCTGAATCCTTTACCGCCAAAACTTGTTGACTCACAACAAACCTAGAAAATTGTGGAACGAAAAGGGTTACATATGATTAGCTCTACAGAATTTGAGTGTACACTTAAAGAGGATTCTGTTGTGTTTGCCGTGGTCGTCATGGAAGTTCCATCGGAATCTCCAATATTAAACCCTGATGAGGTCCAATCAGTTCTTCAAGAGTTTCGAGATGTTTTTCCTGAAGACCTCCCTGATTTATTGCCCCCTTTATGGGACATTCAACATGCTATAGATCTTGTCCCTGGATCGTCTCTTCCAAATTTACTTCATTATAGAATGAATCCTACTGAACATGACTGGAGCTTCTGTCATTCGCCTCTTAACTAGCTTAAATGCTTTGGCCGCTTCGTGGGACCAATAAAATTCCCCTCTTTTCATGCACTTCGTAATAGGAGCCATGATCGTGCTAAACCCTTTAATGAAACGACAATAAAAGGTAGCTAAACCATAAAAACTCCGAACATCATGTATAGTCTTGGGCTCAGGCCAACAAACAATGGCCTGAATCTTTGCAGGGTCAGCAGACACTCCTGTCGTGGAGATAATAAAACCTAAAAATACAACTTTATCTGTGAAGAAAGAACATTTCTTCATATTAGCATACAGGCTTGTAGTGCGAAGGATAGAACAAACCCGCATGAGATGATCTCTATGTTGTTCCCTAATTTTACTGTACACGAGAATGTCATCAAAGTAGACAATAAGGAATTTACCCATGAATGGTCACAAAGCTTGTGTCGTTACCCTCATAAAAGTACTCGGGGCATTGGTTAGCCCAAAAGGCATGACCAACCACTCATAAAGACCATCCTTTGTTTTAAAGGCAGTCTTCCATTCGTCACTTGAACGAATCCTAATTTGATGGTACCCACTCTTTAAATCAATCTTAGAAAATATCATTGCACCGACCATCATGTCCAACATATCATCAAGTCTAGGGATTGGAAAACGATACTTCACTGTGATCTTATTGATGGCACGACTATCAACACACATTCTCCAATAACCATCTTTCTTAGGAGTCAAAAGGGCGGGAACCGCACAAGGACTTAGACTCTCACGAATAAATTTCGATTTTTCCAAAGTTTTTGAGGTAGAATGTGATGCCTCTAGAGTAGGGATAGGTGGAGTTTTGAGCCAAGAGCGCCACCCTATTGCTTATTTCAGTGAGAAATTAAACGACGATACTCGACTTATGACAAGGAGTTGTATGCAGTCGTACAAGCTTTACACTATTGGCGTCATTACTTGTTGCCCCAAGAATTTGTTTTTTATTCGGACCATGAGGCACTTCGCCACCTTAATTCCCAAAAGAGGTTGAATGCTAAGCATGGTCGTTGGATCGAGTATTTGCAGGCCTACTCTTTTGTTTTGAAGCATAAAAAGGGCAGTGAAAATCAAGCGACGGATGCTTTAAGTCGCCACATTTCACTTTTAACCAATATGAGTGTCAAAGTCATAGGTTTTGAACAACTCAAAGAAAATTATGAGTCATGTCCCGATTTCAAGGACATTTTCCTTGCGTTGCAAAGTGGACGATTGGATGCTACTGGTGATTTTCGTCTAGAGGATGGTTATCTTTTTAGGTCCAATGAATTGTGCATCCCTCGGACTTCAGTCCGAGATTTTATAGTTTGGGAAAGTCATGCGGGAGGCCTGGCTGGGCATTTTACGCGTGATAAAACAATCGAAGAGGTTGAACGTCAATTTTATTGGCCTTGTTTGAAGACAGATGTAGCTAAGATTGTTAGTGCTTGTAACACTTGACAGTTGGCTAAACAAAAGAGACAAAACACTGGTCTTTACACACCTCTTCCCGTCCCTAGTTGTCCTCGGCAAGACGTCAGTATGGATTTTGTACTAGGACTCCCACATACTCCAAAGAAACATGATTCTATTTTTGTTATAGTGGATCGTCTCTCGAAAATGGCCCACTTTATCCCTTGCAGCAAGATTTCAGATGCGTCTAAGGTTGCTAGGCTGTACTTTAATGAGATTGTTAAATTGTATGGCCTTCCTAAGACCATTGTGTCAGATAGGAATGTTCGATTCACTAGCCACTTCTGGATAACCTTATGGCACATGGTTGGCACCAAGTTGAAATTTTCCACTACGTATCATCCTCAGACTGATGGTCAAACTGAAGTTGTTAATCGCAGTCTTGGTAACCTATTAAGATGTCTAGTTCAGGAAAATCTGAGAAACTGGGATTTAATCCTTCCGATAGCCCAAATTGCATATAACAGTTCTATGAATCGGTCTTTAGGCATGAGTCATTTTGAAGTTGTTCATGGTTATAAACCTAGGAAGCCTTTAGACCTTATCCCTATGTCCCCACATGCTAATGTGTCTGTGTCAGCTGAGGTATTTGTACAATATCTTCGTGACTTGCATATTAAGATCAATAAACAACTAGAGGCAAGTAATGCATCATATAAATTTCGAGCTAATTTGCATAAACGATACGTTGAATTTAAAATTAGGGATTATGTGATGATCTGAATTAGACCGGAACGACGTCCATCTGGATCTGCTTCCAAATTGCAAGCCCGTAGCGCTGGTCCTTTTAAAATTTTAAAGCGTGTTGATCCAAATGCGTATGTCATTGATCTTCCATCACAGTTTGGCTACCATTCTACTTTCAATCTTGAGGATTTAGTTGCTTATAAAGGCCATTTTAAGCCCTCTGATAACCCTTTTCTACCCCCATCTGTTGACTTTCAACCTGAACCTATTGCTACCCCTACTTCAACACCCCCTGTCACAATATCCAAAGGTAAGATTGATGCTATTTTAGATGAAGAAATTCAGTGCTTTCTTGTTCATTGGATAGGACGACCTGACTCTGATTGCATATGGATATCTAGAGAGACACTCCAACAGCTTGATCCTGACTTGTTGGAGCTTTATAGGAGTCAACAGGATCTTCCATTGGCCAGACCACCTATCACACGCGTATATGGGCGTAGGAAGAGGTTTGTCCAACCACTCAGCTTATGGTTGGGCAACTGACTGGAGCCTTTTATGAGTTATTCCCTCGACAAAGTCGAGTTTTTCTCCCACCCCGAGAGAGTTGATGAGGACATCTAGCTTGGACTATTTAGTTAGTATTTGATTTGGACATGTATTATGTTTTGGGCTTGCCCAAGCCTTTTATTTTGTTTTTGGGCTTGTATCATGTTTTGGACTGGCCCAAGCCCTTTTTATACTTTGTTTTGTATAAAGTTTGCAACTCTCTATGCATGGGGGGCAGATTTGATGGCATGAAATGAAAACTGATTGTGGCAAACTTCCACCGCCCTTCCCTTCTCTCTCCCTTCTCTCCTTCTCCCCTAGCAATTTCTCTACTGTATGTGTTCTGCTTCTTCTATTGCTTTTCTTTCAACTTTTACAAGTTCTGGATTATTAACCTATGCTACATCAAAAACCCCAATAAATAAGACACTTTGAATGCAATAAGAACACACTTGCAATCCCGCACAAGTATATAGATGGTCACAAATATTTATCCTTTTCTTCTTCAATATAACATAAGATGAGACAATATCAGCAAATGCAACCAGAAACTACATGTCTTAGTCATATTATTGCGACTAATGGGCATTGGCACGTAAAAAAAATAACTACCAAGTTTCTAAAATTTTGGGTACCCTAGTACACACAATCATGCAGACCATGATAAAACATGCAAAGCTCTTTCCTTCAATTTTATAGAAAATAACATGACGAGAAAAGCAAAGATGACTTCAACCCTCAACATCATTTACACTAAAATGTTGGATCCAGATAAATGTAACTTCGCAGCAACAACTCCGTAACAAAAATTATCATCTCTATCCTACAAATGAGGCATATGTGGAAGGGATACAAGCAAATTTATAAATGATATAGCTGTGTTACCAGTCATTATTATGTTTCCGTATTCAAATAATTGGGTATTTCATATAATGGATTCATAAATTTCTCTGTCATTTAGGCATATGACCTAGATTTATTCTTCGCGAGGTAGAAAATGAAGAGTGACCGCAGAAAAATATAAGTAGACTTTCTTCTTTAGTATATTTGACTCGCAAGAAAGCTTGCAACCGAGTTAAATAAACATATATCATCTGTCCAACAGTTGAAGCAAGTTATTGGCTTATTCGTGGTTCAGTAAACGAAGAAATGTATTCATCTACATGATACATCAACAATTTTTCGCACTCTAACTAAATATAAGATCCATTACCTGATTTGATACTGCTAGTGAAAGATTCAAGTTCTTGCTCAGGAGCACGTCCAATTACAACCTTCACAGGATAAAGCAGTGAAACTTGTGATACCATATATCGCTGTCTCAATCTTAATGACTTCTGCAAGTTTTTGAGATGAACATAACCTTTTTCTCCAGTAGGTGATCTATTTGAGTCCTGCATTGAAGTAAGTTGATTTCAGATGTGCAAAAGTAATTTTTAATACTGATGCAAAAATTTAAAATTTAAATTTTATGATAAAAGAGGAAGACTTTCAACAGCATATGGTGATAAAAAGTTTCTATAAATAACTGTGAAATAACAAAATAGAACTACCAGGAAGTAAATATAAAAGACTCAAGATGCTTCAAAAAATGGCTTATATGCTTAATCCAGAGAAGATGCGATATTACAAAATGGAGGTCAAGAGTAGCTGTAGCGTAACAAAATAAGTAGTAAATACAGTAATGCAATCACTTTCAACAAGCACTCCCCCAACTAGGAGCCTTACACTTTCTATATCTACAAATAATACAATCCCAACCACTTGTAATCGAAACAATCATTCCAATTCCATAACCCATAAGGAATATGAATGAACTGTGTAATTTTGTTAACTAAATAATAATTAATTCTGTGCACGTAATGTAGCCCATATTAAACAGGGGCTTAAACACATATGGGAAAGGAAGTTGCTTTTTGACAAAAACAAATTTGAACTTTAAGTTTTAGCTGAAAATCTAAAATTCCAAAAGATGAAGCAGAGACCTAATTGTCAATTTTACATCACTACTAAATTTTCTGCACACAACTTGAATTACGAAAAGAAATTGTGGCAACCATTCAGAAGCCACAAAAATGAATTGACAATAAATTTTCTTTTAGAAAGCTACGTGATGATATGAGGATAGAAGATTTAATTTTATGAAAAAGTCATAAATTAGCCACTCCAATTATTAATCAATTACGTGAGAAATAGTTATCTTTAGTCATCACCTCGAAAGATAAAAAAAAAATATTGATGGTTCGCATACTAATTAATCATGTCCACTCCATGCTTTTCAAGAACCCTCAAAAAGCCAATAAGAACAGCACCATAGGTACATACACCAATACATGGCTCCACGCTCCCTGTACAGCTTTTCAAATAGGCAGGAACCAAGCTATTAAAAATAGCATTACTTTAAAATTATGGAGCTATAGAGAACTTATCCCCATCATATTCACTTTAAAGAAATAACCAGCTCCATGTCATGAATCTGGGAGATAGTGACAATGAGCTGTCATAAATACAGCCTCTAGAGTGTGGTAAAATAGATACTGACAGAAAATAGACACAATGAAAGAGCATAGCTTGATCTCAAGCTTCTCGGCAAATTCAAAACAAGTCAAGTGATAAGAGAAGAACCAATACCCAAGTGCTAAGCTACAGTTGAGGAAAGAAGAAGTGGTCAAGAAAAGCTTAGTCACTTATATAGACAGATTACCTGCATGCGTTTGCTGGGAGCAGAAAGAGCAGCTCCAGCAACCAATAAAGATCTAATTTCCGAACTAAGTTGCTCCTCCTGCTTTCTTACTTTCTCCTCTACAACCTTTGAATGCATTGACATGTTTCCCATCACCAATTTACCAGATTCCAACTTTTCATGCATCTCATCAAGCTCATTGGTCCGGCTTAATGTTTGGGTTTCTACCTGTGCACATTAAAAGTAATCATAAAGCATGGAAATTATAAAAGTGAACAATTTTATTAAAGCAATAGTAGAATAGAAGGGAATAAGAGCAGTCTCTTCTATACTTCTTGAGATAAATATTCTTTTCAACTAATAACGAGTAAGATCATAGCAAGTAAATGAAACTAACACTAAATTGCAAACTCTTTCGTTCAATGACTACAGGGGAAACTTTTTTAAAATACCAGCACCAGTAATTATGGTGACTTTATTTAGATATATCAAACAAATTGCAATCACAACAAAAACCATAACAATCATTAAGGGGTTGTTTGAGCCCCATTTTTATCCAAAAAAAAAAAATGCATTTTGAAATAGTGTTATGATAGAAAATGTGTGGTTAAAAAATAAGGAAAATTTTTGGGTTTGCATGTAATATTATTTTATTGAAATATTTGTGGTTGAAATGGTGTCAAATCACTCTTAAATAAGATGTATTTTGATAGAAAAATGGGACTCAAATAAGGGTTAAGACAAAAGATGAGAACAATTCAAATCAATTTACTTTTCTTACTGTATATTCTGTTCGAAAAAATATCAGCAGCAGTTTCAATCATAAATAATACTTCTTTTCGGCTACCAGTCAACTGCTTAAAGGATAAAACACTAACTCACGTCACTTTTCTAAACAAAAATGAGCAAATAACATTGCAAAAAGATCACAAAGTTGCTGTTCCATTCATAATGATTTGCACAATGTGACATCTTCTTGATTCTGATCAGCAGAATGATATATGATAAATTGAAAATATCAAAGCAGAAATATAAAATGATATATTTTAGTGTTAGATATCTTGCAGTTCTGCAAACCGTATAGAAACATGATTGCATTGACAACTTTTGACACACTAGCAATTTTATAAAAGGAACATTAATTGCTGTAAAACTGGTCATTTACACGTTTTATCTAACCATTTTCAACAAGTGTTATCCCTCCATTATACCACCGTACAAACTGGTCGGTTGTTATTCCATGGTGGTTATAGAAGTGCAATTGTTGTTTACTTAAAATGCTATCTACAGTCAAATCCTAATACATACACCCATATAAATAGCTTCACAAAATTGAGCACACCGGGAAACGAAAGACATCCAGTTAAAGCAAAAGGAAACTAAAAGCTTGGGTATTTAACAAGTGTTTATCATTCCTTTTAGTCATGTTTACCCAAAATATCAACACCAACTTAGGGTGCCCCTGAGTCATGCCAATGCCTCGCATAACTGAGTACAAGTAGCAAGATATAACTAACACCTTATCTTAATTTGGCAGGGGAATTTGAATTAAATTGTTTTGACCATAATTTAATGGAATAGACTATTCTAATTATTATAGAAAATCTAAATTCCTCGTTAAGAAGCATATTGCTTGGGTTTGTAGTTTTCACCATAGGAATTTTTGCATATCTATCATATCAAATATTTCAACCATAGTTTAAGAAAAACCTTTGATTACTTAAATTGGTCTTGTGGTCTATTTAAAACTTTTGAAATCAGTTTTGACCCTTTACCATCTGCAAGTTTTCTGCAAGTTTATTACAAGCTTCAAACTCCTAAATAGAACGACAAATACTTTATCTTGGATTCGCAAAAGTCAATCCGAGTAGATTATATAACACAGAGCCCAATTAAACTAGCTCGAAAACCAAATCCTATGTTTTCTCCTATTTACATTTAATAATCAACGTACCACTCTTTAGGCATAAAACCACGTGAAAAGGAAATTGTGAGTTCAATTTCGTAAACTATAAAAATGAAATAGTTATGTTAAAGAATGATATCAAATAGAATAATGCTATTTACAGCCCTACGTGTCATACATGTAACGGTTAGTAATTTAATGAATAAGACAATAAAAAAAACTACCACATTAATACAGCAAATCACTAACCGTAGGCGACTATGACAGTAGTGAGTCTCAAATAGCATTACTCTATCAAATATCAACCATAGCCAATCAATACTAATTGTTGGTTATATATTAGAAAAGAGTGGTATCTGGTTTTCATTGAAGTTAACCCACAAATATACCTCAGGTTACAACTCAATCATAGGGCTCCCAAAAATATATCATTGATAATGGAACAACTATCACGACTAATATAATTTCCAAACACAATAAAAATAAAACTTATCACGTTTAAAGATTTTAAAGGACTTTTAAAAACTTTTCATCATAAAATTCATTATATACCTAAAAAATTACAATATTTCTTACTATTTAACTAATATTTTCGAAAACCATGATGCTCACAAAATTTTCTTGGGTAGAGTCACTAGTCATGGTCCAATGGTTCAATTTTGACACAAAGAAAATAATTAAAAACTTTTACTTCAATTTCTAATAACATAACAAAAAAATTTCATGAACTTAACATAAATTCTAAGAGCATAAATTGTTCTTAACCCCCCCCCCCCCCCCCCTCCCAAAAAAAAAAAATAATAATAAATAAATAAAAATGAAAAAAGGGACATTTCCATCCAAATCATCAACAGAAGAATAATATAACAGATTTACTATGATTTCCCAATCATAAAATTTTAAACGAAAGAACAAAAAGATTTGGGATGAAGTGCATACTTGTTTAAGGGAATTGAGTTTCTGTTCAAGATTATTTTTCTTGCGAATCGCTTCTTCAAGTGCGGATGTCAAACTACAGAGTCGCGCCAGCTCCTGCTCGCAATCCTCCCATTCTATTACTTTCGGTTTTTGATCTTCTTGTCCCTTCTGCTTCTCTTCTTTCACCTTCACAGCAGGCTTCTTCGATTCCATTCACACGTCACAATCCAAGAATCATCAACAATATTTAATTTCAAAAATAAAAAAGGATCGTCATTGTAGGTCCACCAGTCCTTCACCATCGTAGTACAGATTTCGAGGGGTGGGGGTTAGGGTTCCGTTGATGTTAATTTCAACCTCATTATACGAAGTAAAAAAATGGGAAATTTTGAATCTTTCACTTTTACGGATGCTGGAGACAAATTGCTGTCGAAATTGATAAGCAGAGCAGTTTTTTGTTTTCGGAATCACTTCTCGCATACAGACTTCTCTCTCGTTTTTAGGTATTGCGTTTTTTCGCATTTAGAGGAAAGCGCTGTCATATAAACACGTTTTCTTTGTCTGAACTAGTTAAAAGTCCCAAATCATAAGTGCTCTTAAAAAATCTCTGTTGCTTTCCTTTCACTTTGAGGTAAATTATATCATTCTTCTTCAATTTTTCTAATATTGAATTTTATGGAATTGTAGGCAATTTTATTTGTCTAGGGTTTATTTTTTGCATTTTGATTTTCCTTTCCCCTACCTCGATGAATTGGAATCTGTTTGGTGAAGAGATGAGTTGACAAAGAAGATAATTTGAACTGTTGGAAAGTCTAGTGAATCAAATAATTTTAAGATAACCAAGAAAAAAAGAATGATGGAAGCTTCATTACTAAAAGAAATTAGGAATAAAAATACTTGATTACAGTAACAATTCTCGTGGATTAGAACAAAATTCCTTGTAAACATAAAGGCACGCTAAAGCCACACTTGTAGAACATAACCAAACGATTAGACTATCTTCGATACTTTTTTGTGTTGACACCTAGATTCTAGACTGAAAAGGTAAATTTCCTTTGTCTTCTACATAGATAGCACGATTATGAAACTCATCAAGTATTCAATTTACAAGTTGACTTCAGTTTGGATCTCTTTCAGATGGTAGGCCAATCAAATGTTAAGAATGAGCTTCTTTCTTGTTTTGTTTTCCCCAAAGAAACCAGGAGCTTTGATGTAATTCTTGGATGCTCTAGGTCCACGTGGGAATATAAACTTATTCTTCCTCTAAAGGGGACGGTTACAATCTCCTAGCTTGTCTTCATTATTAGTATCATTTTCATGCATTAAAGACGCCATTTTTGCTATTATTATTTCTTAATTGACCGAATTCAATGTCTCTATAGGAAGAAGCTGATACAAATATGTTAGTAGGTATTCAAGTGGCTCACTCTGAGAAGGGTGAGTTCCGTTCTCATGCTAATCGTCTTGGATGAATAGAAAGCACCAATGAAGCATTCAAACTTTTAATGCGACGGAAGCAACTTCTTTGTTATATAAGGTCGATTGATTTATCCTCAATTTGGTTAGATTTATAATTATCCAAGCTAATTTGCTGAATGAGTGTGCATTTCACATCATCTGTTGGAGCAGATAAGAGAGGTGTCACTTTTTGTTCTCTACCCGTCTTTAGTCTTGTATTGATTATGCACATCGAACCCTCATTACTTGTCAACAGTATGCATCCCTAACCTTAAAACTTGCTTTATTGTCTTTATGTCATTTTTAAGAGGTGCAATTATACTCATCAGCATTTGTTCCAACAGTTAACCATGATATCAATTTATTGAATCTGATCTGTCACGATGAATTGGCAACATTCATCCCTTATTTTTAATCCAGCCCTCTCGATGATTTTGTAATGTCATCAGTCTTTTGGTGTAGTTATTGAATTTAATATTTCATATTGTGATCTCAAAAGAAATGTAGAATAAGAAGTCACGCTTGTAAGTGAAACATATGCATTCTTACTTAAATTTTTCGTTCTGAGATGGTAATTGACTTTTTATGTGTAAGAAACGTTGCTTGGCCTGTGGATGAGTTTAGCTAAGAGAATAGGAATGAATATACAATTAGTTTTTACTTCAAGAGAGGAAGATAAGAGAACTATGATTTAAAATTTATTGCATGATATCCAATTTACTTTAAAGCTTATTATAATGTATGTTGAATATTGAGTTTTTTGTGGCAATTGATACCCAATTTACTTTGAAATTTGTGTTTTGTGAATGTTGGATTATTTTTTTCAGGTTGGTTTATTTAATATTACGAGGGAAATGATGTCGATTTTTTTCCCCAAAATATTGATCGTTGACTCTAGTTGTTTTAGAAAGACTCCAGTCTTTTTAAACGATTGCAATTGTTTTGAACGACTCCAATCGTTTTCCTACAAATATAAAAGAGCAAGGGCATTGGCGGGACACATGTCGCAAATTTGTATCGTCCTGTACTTTTTTTAAATATTATGTTGGGTCGTGATGCGAACCCCGTAGCAACGTTGACTATAAAACCCACAACGAGATTGACAAACCTAAGAAAGCCAAATTAATCCAAAGTTTAGGATTAACCCAAAAGAAAGTCGAACCAAAAAACCCAACAAGAACGACGCTTGAAAGACCCCTTGATCACGCAATCCAAGAATTAAATCCGGTTGTTTGAACGCCACAAGTTAACAGTTGATAAGCTCGAAATTGTTCGATGAAGAACGATGAAGAGAAGACAATACGCCTCACTTTAATTCAATATCAATAATGTCAAAAGATTTTTAACAATTGAATGGAAACTCCTATTTATACTAAACCTAAAAATTAGGTAAAAATCGTGCAAAAGTCGAGCATAATCCCCAAAATATGGAAAAGAATCAAAATTTAACAAAATATGGAAAATTGCCAAAATTGGAAAATTCGCCAAATTTTTTGCTAGTGCGGCCGCATGATGTATTTCCATGCGGTCGCATGGTTCAACAAAAAATCCCAATTTAAGTTTCGGTATGCCACTGTATGGCCGCATGGTGTTTTTGCTGTGCGATCGCATAGGCTTATTTTCAGCCTCCGGTTTCGTTGCTTGATAACAAATTGATCCAAGTTGATTCGGCCTTTAACCCGAATATGAAAGTTGCTCCATTTTGAGTCCCGAACATAGTTCTATCAATGGTTTCTTGAACGAGCAATCCCATCGCTTGTTTCACTTGCTTTTCCCTTGATTGTGTCATTGGTCCACCATCGACTATCAACGGGTCTCGTCTCGCACTTGCTTTCGTCAGGCTCAACTCCTGGATCATATCAGGTCGTTGGAAGGAAGTATGGGACAGTCAGATTTCTCCATTTTCTTCACTAAATCCACCATTCCTCTATTATTCTTCTTCTTCGTCTTCTTTCTCTTCCTTTCTTCTTCTTTTCAAAAATCTAAAAAACTGAAATCTCGAATTCGAGCTGCACTACATTGGAGGGGGTTCATTTGTGCTCCTTATAAGTGAAAATTTTCTTTACTTGTGATTTATTTCTCACGTTAAAATACATTTTGTTTCATTGTTTACTCATTTATAATGTTAATGATAAACATGATTGCTTGGACAACTTTAAAGACCAAAATGGTCAAATATTACCAAGGTTAATTTTTTTTATAATTATAATGATTTAGAAAATTTTGGTCCTTTCTGGTTCACTTATATTCGAGTTGCAGTACATTGAACGGGGTTCATCTGTGCTCCATGTAAGTAAAAATCTCTTTACTTATGATTTGTTTTTCGCGTTAGAGTTCATTTTATTTCATTGTTTACTCATTTATAGTTTTAATGATAAGTAGAATTACCTGAGTAACTATAAACTCCAAAATGGTCAGATATTACCAATATTGAAGCTAGCATGGAGACTTGCTCTCCGTGTCGAACGGAGACATTAGCTACGTGGGAAATTCTCTTCATCAAGTACGAAGAAAACATAGAGTTTCTCCATCCTAGATAGAGAGAAATGATGGAAATCTCTCTCCATCTAGGATGGAGAAAAATCGAGAAAACTCTCCATCCTGAATCCCATGGAGAAAACTTTTCGTGGGATGAAGAAAAATTGGAGATTTTATTTTTGAACCGATCTTACCTGAGATCACAAATCCCAAGTTTGTTTATGAAGAGCGGATCTAATTGTCGAATAAGTAAGCATAAAAAATTAGAAAATTCTATTTTGTCAATAATTGGAAAATTTCTTTTTCTAGATCTTAATTCGAATAGAAATTCCGGAACTATGGATAGATTGTGGCACCAGCCAGGGTATTTCTTTGAGTCCTCGAAATGGGATTAAATAGAACATAATTGACTGGATGGTAGAGTTATGGAAACGGTTTTTTTTTTGTTTTTTTCTCATTTATTTTTTTTTTTTTGTAAAATTTGTTTTGTTCATGTTGTAAATAATTTTTTTCGAAATAAAATTCTTTTCAATTCTTTTCTCTTCACAATAAAACTTTATTTTTTCAATTTTGATTAGGTAATATTTTTATATTATTTATTTAATTTTCGTAACTTTCTTTTATTTGATTTTTTTATTATATATTTTTTGAAAATTGTTTTAAATTTTCTTTTTTCTTCATATTATAAATATTTTTTTCGATTTAAAAGTCTTTTTAATTCTTTTCTTTTTATTAATTTTTTCAATTTTAATTAAAAATAATATTTAATTTTAATTTTAATTATTTCAATTTAATTTAAAAACTTCATAATATTCTTTTTTTTTTTGTTCTTTCCTATTTTTGCCTGCAATTCTTTCTTTTGTTCTTTAATTTGTTAAATCATTTATTTTCTTTTCTTTATTGATATTGAATTAGATGAAACAAAGTGTTGTATGAGAATAAAGAAATATTGCAGTTGAGGTGGATGGAGAGTTATTTCCATCCAGGATGGACAAGAGAGAGAATCCCATGGAAAGTTTTGTAGGATGGAGATAAATCGAAGATTTTATTTTTCATTTTTCATTTTTTTTCCTCATTTATTTTTTTCTTTTTTAATCTATTTTGTTCATGTTATAAATAATTTTTTTAATTTAAAATTCTTTTCAATTATTTTCTCTTCATGATAAAACTTAAAATTTTCAATTTTAATTAAATAATATTTATATATTCTTTATTTAATTTTTGTAACTTTCTTTTGTTTAATTTATTTTTTATTAAATATTTTTTGAAAATTGTTTTAAAATATCTTTTTTCTTCATATTATAAATATTTTTTTCTTTCGATTTAAATTTTTTTTAATTCTTTTAATTTTATTAATTTTCTCAATTATAATTAAAAATAATATTTATTTTTAATTTTAATTATTACAATTTAATTTAAATTTATAATAATCTTTTTTTTGTTTTTTCTATTTTTGCCTGATTATTTAGTTTTTTTTCTTTATTAGTATTAGTTTGAATGAAGTGAAATAGTGTGTGAAAATAGAGAAATATTGCAGTAGAGGTGGATGGAAAGTTTCCTCCATTCTCTATCC